TGGAATATGTTGGATAATCTTAATATTAGGTTACTTAAACTAGAGTTATTTACCATTGAACAAGATTATGTGTGACTATAAATGTGTTTTCCCCATTTTTCTCTGTCATGAAAATTTCAAGAGCCCTGTACAGTAAATGACTTAGCTAGAAATTGTGTGTTAAAACCATAACTGCCTTTGGTACTATATAGATTTTTTTATAAAAAGTTTTGGTTGCAAAACATTTTTTCATTATTATTAAGGATAGGTATTTTCTGTATTTCCCACTGACTTTATATCTGTCTTTCAACCTATTCAAACCTGAAACATTAATCTTCAAAACTGAAGGTCATTTTATTTCACACATTTGGATAATAGAATCTGTAATAAGGTGTATTTTAGACTTAATACTTAACCTTCGTTCCACTGCACCAACCAAAATTAAATGGCAGCATATCCTACAGACCCAAACATCAGCTTCTTATGCTTGTATTTTCTGCCTCCCAGTACAAACAGATATATAATTAAAGAACTTTTCAGACTAATACAAAGGTAAATGAATAATTAGATCGCCTCTACAATCATGTGCAACTACAAACATTTTTTTCCCCTGGATTTTTGTTCTTTTACACATTATCTTTTTAAATCCTTCATCAGTGCCCTGTGCTGTACTTCCCATGTGAGTAGCACAGCAGGAGGACACCGGGCAAAGGTGTCTCTGAATTTCTCTATCCAACCTGACTTAGCCTTTGGCATTCCTCAACCTGTAATTACTGTGATGCCAAGTGCACCTGTCCCTTCTTCCCAACCTTGTTATTTCTTCAACCGTCCTTGCAAGAGCTTCCAGGCCAGAGCTGCATGGTCCTGCAGACCACCCTGCAAGAGGCTCTTTTCAGTTCTCACGCTGGCAGTGCTCTTCCTTTAGCCATTTATAGAGCTGGAGTGGAGAACAGAAACAAGGGTGGGACCAGAGTGTGGTCCACACCCTAGAGCTCAGCATGATTTTAATCTTACTTTAAAAAAAAAAAAATCTAACAGCAGACATTAGTCTGAATGCTTGACCAAAAGCGGTATCAGAATTTCTGTAAAAAAATTTTCCCATATATTCCTCTTCACTGATCCTTAGAAAGGCATATATTTTTGATTTGCCTCATTGATAGCTCCTTCTTTAGACTAGAAGGACTTCATGCCATTCTTTTCAGAAAAATTGTTGATTTCTATACAAAGTATTTCTTTGCTTCAGTGGCTAAATTAATTTATGCAGCACTATCCATATCCATTGTGCCATCACACAAAATCATTATTATGGTCATTGAATTCTGGGTTATAAAATAATCAAAACTGTTATTTTCATATCAGGATGAGGGAAGCTTATCATTCTAAGTACTTTTCAAATATAGGATTTATGTTTTTTTTTTTTTTTTTTTTTTTTTTTTTCCCCAGATTTACATTAACTACACTATGTTCTTCTGATTGACTGTGGTTTATTTTGGCAGTTGACTCTCAGTTTCCATCACTTTTGATCTTTGCACTTCCTAAAGTGTCAGTAAGGCTGGCCAAATAAGAGTGTAACAGAGCACAATGTGTCTAGAGAGATTTTTAAGCTAAGGATATAAAACTGTTTGATTTCAAAACTCTAAACATCTCTACACTGGAAAGAATGAAAATAAGCTATTTGAAAAATGATTTATATTTGAATGACTTTTTAAAAGAAAATTTAACAAAAAACATTTGGAAATTATACTGATATATCTCCCACTATTAATAGTGCCTACTATATCATTACAATCACCATTCTAACATAGAAAAATGTATGGGAAAAGGCATAAATGGTAAAGTTCAAAATTACTTAAAATCCTTTTGACATATGCATCTCCAAATTGTGTAAAGGAACACCATGTACATCTCAAATATGGCAAACAATTTCAAGCTGTTAACTTGTTTCCTGTGAGAAAATCTCCTCTAAAACTAATATCAAACTGCTTGGAAAGATGTTTTCCCTTGAGGGATTATTACTGTAACCATGAAACAAGAAGATTTAGGACCTTTACATCAAATGATCTGAAAGAAGCCAAAAAACTGTCCATCCTGCCAGCCAAGAGGAAGAATGGAATGAGATGGCTCTGACATCTGCTCACTGCTTCCCTTCAAACTATAAGCAGGTACCTGTAGGTGGGGCATAAAAATGTATGGCTGAGGAACAGGCTGTTGCTTCACATGTAGTTCCAATCTTTGTAACTCCTATTGAATTACTCATGTATAGAAGCAGAAAATAGCTGTTTGATTAATAACGAGTAAGTGAAAAAAACAACACAACCACACCACAAAACCGAAAACAAACCAACCACCTACCCCACAGACCTTTATTAGACAAGCCACCACTTACAAAGCTGAGCGACTGCAGCATCATGGATAAAGGACAAGAAAAAGATCTACTGCATTTTACGAATTAAACTAGGGGATCCTCAGATGTTTTCCTAGACCTTGTACCACATCTTAATTAAGAAATTGTCTCATATTCCAATCGTGATTGTATAAACACCCCTCAGCAACTACAAAAACAATTTTCATGGAAAAAAATGGTATTAAAAGAAAAGCAGAATACTTTTCTGTTTTTCTCTTAATAAAGTTAAGTAGATAGAAAGGAGGAACACAGCCCATACTACAGAACTATTGACCTCTCTCTGGACCACCACAGTGTTTCGCAAGCCAATCTGGGACCATCTGACCTAGTCCATTCTCCTGGCAATCAATGATCTGCTCCCCATAAAAATAATTTCTATGCTTAGCTCTTTTCTTTTTAATTAATTTTGATGAAAGCTGATATCAACTTTCTTTAGATTTTAATGTCTGGAACCAATGCTAGAGCTTGCCCTCACAGTAAGACCTCCAGCTGAAAAGTTAATTTTCCATTAAGCAGTTTTTCTGCAGGGTAAACAGTATGAAGTTATCTTACAGGGTTTATGCGCTAAAAAAGCTATGAAAATGGTGACTTACAAAAAAAAAAACAGGAGATGCCTGGTTACTAATCATTTGTTCTCATTTAATTCAGGAAATAAAAGGAAAGCAGTAGTGAAAATAGGTGTGCAGGGTACCTGAATTCCACAGAAGGGTCTTGAATCCAATACTTTTTTCTTCCTAATTCTCATCTGATATAGGGTAAGCTGTGGTCACATAACTTTAAAAATATTTGAGATGATGACAGATGAAGAGATATAGCTCTCTTCCTTTATTAAGTGTTTTTTTTTTTTTTTTTTTTTTTAAAAAAAGTGCATTCTGTCAAGGACCAGATAAAACTGGAAAGCAGAAGCAAGATAGAAAACTCAGAGATTAAATTACTTGCTTTTACAGAATAGGTAAGAAAACAAAACAATGCTATTGCCTCTTTCTTCTTTCTGATAAAGCCTATAACATTTTCCTTTTCAGAGTCTCTCAAATATTTAACTACGCCTATATCATAATCACCAGTGATATCAATAATTTAAAAGAGAAACTCAGTACTAAACATTTTCTACTAGGCAAAAAAAAAAAAGACTTCACTCAATAGATATGAAAAGAAAGATGAATAGAAATGAATTGTTTACCCCAAACTGTCATGGTGCTCAAAGACCAAGAAATCTGTGCTAAGTGGAACAACTCTCTCTGTAACTAGATCCTCCTTTATTCCAGTAAACTAAACTTTATAAATACATGCCCCCTCCCCCCCCCAAAAGTCACGTTTATTGGTTTATAATATGAAAATTATATTTGCACTTTTCAAGCAATTTGAATTAGGACAGGTGTTTCTGGGAATAACTATGGGCTTGAACAAAATCACTGCTGTAGTTTTCCTAGTTTAATCTATTTATCTACTTGAGCTACATTATTCCAGTGCTGTGTGGCTATCTACCACTAGCTTAAACGTAGAACTGAAAATTCTTGGTAGAATATACCATTTCAGGCAGACAGATTTGGTGACATATGAGGACAGAAAATGTATTAACAACAATTAGGAGGTTTTTTCCTGTTTTCTTTACACTCCCTTTTCCTAATCCCCTCTCAAGAGAACGAAGGTTCATGATAAAGGAATGACATTTCCATGGGGTATGATTTTATAGTTGGCTATGCAGCTGTGTATCTTTCTTATAAATATGTACTGCATCTACAGCTAGAGAATCTAGTTGAAAAAGAAAGCAAGATTTACACTTAGTTTTCTTCAAAGTATCAGAAAGATGAGGTAAAAGCAAAAAAGCCCACAATCAACAAAAAACCTACCAAATACTGTAACAAAATCAAAATACCCTAGCAAGCATTCTGAAATATGACTATTTTTACATTTTTATGACTACTTTTACATTTACATTTTTGAGGTAAATGTTGTTGTAAGATAACTGTGATAATTGTTATAGCTACTTAAAATAGAATAACGCATGTATGCTTCTCCTTTAAAGGCAGCTCACAGGCTCAATGCCTAATCTCTGCACGCTCCTACCTGATGCACTAGCCCTGAATTTGAAGAATAAAAACGGCAAATAAACCTGAGGAACATGCATTAAAATGAAACAAAAAGGCACATTATACTAATATCTCTTAATACAGTAAAATTCAGTTCCTAAAAGGCTTTATTTGCAATATATATCCTGTCTGCAGGTCTCTTAAAACAGTCTTCACTAATGAAATTACAGGCTAGTTTTCCAGAGAGTGCTTGCCTCATACAGCAGGCAAATTGTAGATGGGGGGTGGGGGAAATCAAAAAAAGGATAGAATTAAGTTTCATGGATAATCTCAAATCTGAAAACATGACTTTTTTTTATTTCTTTTTTTTTCCCTACAAATATATATATATATATACACACACATATATATATATATTTTGGGGGAAAGAGTGTTAAACACTTTCTTCCAGGCAGTATACTCTTCAGCTGTTATCCTATGTATTCTGGAACTGATTTTTTTTTCCTTCCTCATAGTAGCAATAAATATGCACGATCATAAATGGATTTGCAAGGAGAACTTGGACTGTAATAAGAGTGAGAACTTACTGTCTTGCTGATGTAATTTGTGCTGATATTCATGCACTGGAGTCCTTCACTATTGCAGCAACCTCCACATCTGTAGATGGATACACATGGGGGTTTAAAGAAGGTGTTTGTAGTTGCTCCAAACTCTTTTCCCACATCCACACACACTTCACGTGGCATGCACTGAGTTTTTCTCCATTCAGTATCAATACCTGCCAAGTTATAGGGAATTTCATGTGTTATAAAGTAACTGTTTAAAAACAATACTCTCCTGCAGTAAATTAGTAGGATTTTTTTAAAAAGTTTAGAACCAGATTATGCATTGCTAGAGCCACACCCTTTCTTCAGTGAAATATGCATCTCTCTGTTGTAATTTCTGGTTAATTTTTCTTCTTAGGGATAAGACATACTGTCATGAAGCAGAAGAAAAGTCACAGCGGAGCTAAGAGGGAACCTAACAAGGCTGGACAGATCTTACGACACAGAATCATAGAATTATGGAAAGGTCTGGGTTGGAAGGAACCTTTAAAGGTCATCTAGTCCAATCTTCCTGCAATGAATAGGGACACCTTCAACTAGATCAGGTTGCCCAGAGCCCCCTTGAACCTGACCCTGAATGTTTCCAGGAATGGGGCATCTACCACCTCTCTGGGCAGCCAGTTCCACTGTTTCACCACCCTCATCGTAAAATGTCTTCCTCCTATCTAGTCTGAATCTACCTTCTTTTAGTTTAAAACTGTTACCTCTCATCCTATCACAACAGGCCCTACTAAAAAGCTTGTCACCATCTCTCTTATAAGTTCCCTTTAAGTATGGGAAGGCCACTACAAAGTCTCCCCGGAGCCTTCTCTTCTCCAGGCTGAACAGCCCCAACTCTCTCAGCCTGGCCTCACAGGAGAGGTGGTCCATCCCTCTGATCATTTTTGTGGCCTCCTCTAGAGCTGCTCCAACAGGTCCATGTCTTTCCTGTCCTGCGGTTGACTGCTGACCAGGGCCAAACCACGACAGGGGCCCCAGAGCTGGACCCAGCACTGCAGGTGGGGTCTCACCAGGGTGGAGAATCACCTCTCTCAACCTGCTGGCCAGCAGCTAAAGCTTTACATGTCCCTTCTCCTATGCTTGCAGTGAGTCTCACCTTGCATGAAGTCTGAAGAAGTACTGCACATCTCTGCAAAGTAATTTTACCCAGTCCCAGACAGTACTTCACTTGGATACTATATATTAGAAACATTACATTTCAAGCCTACACACTTAAGGTAAAATTAATTTGAATGCATTTACTTTGTTAACTAAAAGAGTATGATTTAAAGAAAAACATTATTATTTAGCAATTATATACACCATATGATTTAATCTGAAAGGTGATATTTGTGCCCAGATTAACCATGCAAATTTGGGCAAACATTTTACATACATTGTGTCACGCAGCTTTTTCCCCAAAACAATCTTACACTAACAGCCACAAGACTTGCAGCTGTACAGGCTGCTTATTCTCTCTTGGTGCCAGTTTTTGGTAGGCTATTCAGCAAAAATGGAAATTTCACCTAAAATGTACCATAAAGTCTGCGTTAAGGTACATGATTTCCAGTACCATGTCAAAAAATACAGCTGCTGCTATAAATCCTGTGTATCTCTGCCTGCAAGCACTTCTTTAAACTGTAAACTAATATATTTTCATCCAGGCCATCTGAAACACTAAGGGGGTATTGACATATTTGTTTGAAAGTTGTTTCTTCTGGCTTGAAAATAACATCATGACAACTGTCCCTCTTGTAACAGCAAAAAACTGTAAGTGGATTATTTGGCATGCTAAAGCAATAACGCATCAGAGAAGAAAGCATTCCTAGCCGTGATGTAATTGCAGAAAATGGGCAGAAACAGTTCAATTAATCCAACTATTAGTGCCCTCTTCACTTTCTGCAAAATTGTTACAGCCTCTACAAAGCAGGATTCCTCATACCTGAAGACAAGCGCTTAACTTCCTGTATCTACTGAGCTAAGAAAGCAGTCTATACCTTTCTTGCAATGGATGTACCAAAAATACGTCTGCGGAGAAATTAATTTCATTATGGAAGGTTGACTGTCCAAGATTTTAAATTGTGAACACGACATCAAATCAAGCTGCTGAGGTTGGTTTACTGACAATATTTAGCTTTTAAAATATTTTTGACACAACTGAGAAGCCTTCGGATTTTAATGCATTGTATGTTAGAACGTGTTTTGTGTCCTGTACTTACTTTTCAGGATCTCTGCATTATAGTGTGCTGCGGCAAATTTCAGGGAATCATCTGATCTTGTGTCAAAGCTGGAGTGTTCCCTGTTGTGTTGCCAACTTCCTTTCCTCAACTGACATTTGAACATTTTCCAGTATTCTGGGTAAAGTACTGTCATGAGTTCATCCACACTGGACACAGACCGCAACTGCTCTTCCAGGTCTTTGCTTGCATGAGCCTGTCAAAGTAACATGCAAGATTAATTACTTTCTCTATTACACAAGGTTTTCTGGAAACTAGCCTGAAAAACAACTCAGACATTATAAAATAAAATTGTGCTCAAAAGGGTCCTCATCATAAAAACTGCTTTTGTCAGTCAATGCCAACAGTACTATATTGACAAATACTGAAATGTTTTGCTTTGCCACTAATTCTTTACCATACATGTAGTTCAAAACACCTGTGTGAGAAAGCAGCTATAGAATTACGCCTATACAAAGTACAGTTTGAATATTAAAAAAAGATAAAAATGGTTCTTTTATCCTGGAAATAAAAGTTTTCACAACAAAATTCTGAATGCTTAAACCTCAAAATATTTAAATGATGTTCATGTTACTTAACATCACATACTCTTATAGTCATACCAAATTTTTGCCCATTTTCCCCGAGTCCAGGAAAATAGAAACACCCAGAAATGCAAAACCAGTTAAGTTAGAAAAAGGAAGAAAATAATCAGTAAGAGTCAAGGACTTTGGTACCTTTAAGAATCTGAACTGCGTACTCCCGCACTGCTGAGAGTTTCAGCTGAAACTCTTCAAGACTCTAAACACTAAACTCCTTAACTTGCTGTTTCAAGAGTAGCCTCAAATACTGTAATCTCGCTTTCTTACTTGCTGTCTTCTATGCAAACTAATTGTAATTGGACTATGACTTAGACTTACATTCTAATTTCTCACATATCTGGAATATTCCTCTATCCTCTTAGACAAAACAACATATTGCATCAAAGGACTGCTGTTATTCCCCAGCCACCCGCCTCCATGAATTGCTGACTTCCAAAGGGAAGGGCAGTGGAGAAAGTATTGAAGAATCTCTAGCCACCTTCTCAGCCTACGTGGCCCTTAGATGGCAGTATGAGACACAGAATATAGAGGTGCACTTTGTAAAAAGTGTCTAGCAACTGACTGCAGACTCTCTACAGTTTACTACAAAACTGTTGCTCTTGTCCAAGAAACACCAGGCTGTAACAGTGTAAAACATATGTCTAAAACCAGAAACAGGAAACTATAGAAACTGAAAGTTAAGATTCCTTATCCAACTCGACTACTAACAAAAAATAAATTCTTTCAATTCAGTGATTTTGAACATTATGGAAGTAAAACAACCACTTCTGAACTAGCTCACCTGAATCAAAAATGCTCCTCGTCTCACAAACAACTACAAAGGTACAAAACGGCATGTGCTGGCACATTACTTCCTTATCAGGTGTCAAATACCGGAGAAACGCCTCAGGTTAAGGCATATTCACAGAACTCATTTCCACAAATACAGTTAAATACAGAAGACAAAGCTAATACAGATTTCAAAGTCATTTTATATGTTGAAGTGTTGTTGTGAAGTTAAAAAAAGAGTTTTCACTAAAACCTTGTTAACCACTGTGTCATGACAGACTACTTCATCCTGGGAGACTTCAGCAATCAAGCTATCAGTCTCAAAAATGTGCTTATTCTGGACTTCATCTCTTTCCTTGCCTCCACAGGAAGGGTCATCTCTGACTCTAGCCACCCAGCAAGCAGTATCTTGGGGCCTTGCCTTCAAATCTATTGGCAACACAGAGCATCTCACCCCCCACCCCCCCCCACCCCTGCCCTCCCCGCAGGATTCTCAGTCGGTGGGTCACAGACCAAAATCCAAGCTGAACAAACAACTAACTCGGCCACCGCCTGCTTGCTTTCATCTCTCCTGAGATGTGAAAAGAGCAGGGTTTGAGTAGTCTTGTTCCTGCCAGACTGTTTCCTGGGGGTGCTGCAGCACGTGCCCCTCGAGCAGGGGGAAGCGGGTCGCTGCGCCAGCGCAGTAGATGCCGGCGTCACAGATGTGTGTCTGCCACGTGATGGGAACACGAGTGGCACGGGAGGTCACGGCATATCCTGTCACAAGGCTGCGTGCCAGTCCGTTACATAAAAGGTACAGGAATGGAAAGTGTGTTTAGTAATCTAGTAGTTGATCCCAGGAGGTCCTAAAAGATTGTGGGGGTGACACAGAAAGGGAATCCAACCAAAGGTTCACCAACCTTTGGTGAATACCTTAAAAGCCTGTGCAGCCCACTGTAGACAAAATGTTGGCTATTGCTGTTTCAGATACACAAAGTAGAGGCCTAGATCATCAGAAAACATTAGTACTGAAACTCAAAGTTACTTAGCTGGTAAGAAGCCTAGGTATGGCACAGGAAAGAGGTTATCTTTGTTAAAAATAATGTGTGTTGACCAAATCCTGTTTGGTCAGGAAATCAAGTCATGTCTTTCCAGATGAACAGAAAATTTGGTATACACATATAAAATATGTATGAATAAAAGTCAAAACATGAAGAAATTAGTGACTTTAATAAAGTATCGTATCAAATTTAATAAAGTATTGCATTTCTTCCTGGATATTCCATGGTTCAGAGTGCCATGTGCCTACAACATGAAGTGCTTACTTAATATGAACAAAAGCAAAACAATTTCTGGAGCAGATAATATAAAGCTACTTTTTTTTTTAATTAATCATCATTATTCTATCTGAATTATTTTGTGCTTAGCTTAATAAAGCCATTTGCTTATACAGATGGCTTCAATTCAGACTTACAAATATACTGTGAAAAACCAACTCGATCACTAGAGGGCTTTATGTTCTCTCTCCTCTTCTGTTTTAGCAAGAAAAGGAGAAGGAGATCCATTCATGTATACTAAATACAGTACATGCAGTGCCCAGTTGGGGGGAAAAGGGAGGAAAGAAAAAAAATGTTGATTTTTCAATATGTTTCCAATATTACCTTGACACACAGATCAATGATCTCTTCCTGGTATATTCACTGTAAGTTTATGTATTTTTTAACTGCAGCAAATTACTCTCCTCTGTGACAAACTGTTAAAAGTAATGTATGTGTAAGGCGCTTGTGGAGTGATTTCATTTTGAACAATAGTCAAATGTTATTGTTGGCATGAAGATCAAACAAAATCTTAAACTCTGGTTATTACAAAAGTGTGTCCTGCATACAGTAAAAGCATCAAATCATTAAGGACTGTTAAAAAGAGTTTCTAAATCTCTAAGAGAGAAATGCAGCTGCTTCTGTAAATACAACAGTTGTCTGGTAACATTTTTTATTTTGTCCAAATTTTGGTTAACTTCAGAAAAATATACTGTCTTGGTCCCTACCTTTTATTCCAAATTTTTTGTTCTTTCTTAATTGTGCATTGCCTTTTAGTGTAGGACACTGGAAAAAAAAATTAAAACCTCAAAATGGTTTTGCAGTGGAAATTCAGACTTCAACACCTGTTTAGAATATATGACATGACACAAAGAAAGTAACACCAGCAAAAATGTACTACAAGTCAGAGGAGCTTTAATTTTTCATTCATCATATGCAAGCTTAGATTAGTGAAATTTAGAAAGAAGTACTGTTTGCAGATGCAATTAAAAAATTGTTCTATTGCCTGAAAGTAATATAATGTTAACAAATGTTATGATAAAAGAAATTCTATAACTATTTTAGGCCCAAAATAAGTTTTTGATAAATGTAAACAGTCAACTGATTTTCATATAATCAGTTGCAACGCACTCCACATGAAATCTTGGATCAACTACTTAACATTTTACTGGCGAGACATTCAGGGATCTATATTCTACATCGAGAAGTAAGCAGGAAATAGTGGCATCAGTGCCTGCAGAAGAAGGAGTTTTCTCTGTCCCACTTCTATTTTCTTTGCTCTTTTAAGTCATTTAAGGGGTTGTTGATGGGGTTTTTGTGCCTTTTTTTTTTTTTTTTTTTAAACACCACCACTTCCCTTCACAAGTGTTTATCTCTGTCCTTTGGTTGGCCATTCTAGTGTTTTTGTCATTTTTATGTATTATCAGTGTTGTCCTGCATGATCACCTAAAAATGATAGAAGCTATACTCTGGAGAAAGATGTTGCCTACACCTCTGACTAGCCAATCTCTACAAGATGATAGATGATATTGAGCAAAATAAGAACTTAAAAATGCAAGAATGAATAGAGGATACAACAAGGACAAGCTTGCTTCATTTCACTTCTTCCACATTATTTCCCGAGGAACAAGGGAAATGGCAAATACACATAGAAATAGCGTAGTAAAGGCTAATGACAAGCGCCCTCTTGCTATTATTTAATTTAGGAACATTTTATTCTATCAAAGTATGTTTTTTTACAATGTGGCCTTCCATTACATGGTGTGTCCAGTTTTTCATAAAATTACAGCTTGCAAGGAGAGCAGCAGGATATCAAACAGGCTTTATACCTATTAACAAAGTCAAATCTTTAATAGATTTTCCACACATTACATTATTCGTCTTTCACATCCCCAGTGTCTGCTGCTATTATTAATAACAAAGGTCAGAACACTTAATATTTGGCAGCATGCTTGACACATAATTGATGGTGCAATGTGCTATAACGGTACTTTATGCATCTGCTCTGATTATAGTTGTCAGCTCATTTCATTTTCAAGGATCTTGTTGACAATTCTTAATAGGAAAATGCTGTCTATAAACCCCTCCATTTTAATAAGCTTATATTCTGTATTTATTGACTGACTGAAATGTATTAAAAATCAAGTACTTAAATCTGCACGTTGAAACACTGAAAGCAAATGGAAATACTGAAAAAGAAAAGTATGCATAAACACTTCACTTGCATAATATTTTATTGTAATTTTCACGTATTTTGTTGCAAGTTTTTTGGAAGTTAATGCTAGTAAAAAAAAGAAAATATCCTCATTAAATATCTTAGCTATAGTTAAGAATTACATTCCACTTTTTTGTCCTCCTCTACAATCATGCTGGAATAGCCCTGATTTTGATGTCATTTGCACAAATTCACTAGTAAAATTGAATGACTGTCTGCAGCTGCCCTAAGCTACAATTCAATATAGTAGCAAATCAATGCTTTACAGAAGTGAAATAGTGAGAATAATTTTTTATTTCACATTACTTTAAATAAGTAGTAAGATCAGTGCAGT